GTGAGATGCGAATAAAGTCACTGTATGAGGTCACCTTTCAGGCCTACCGTCACATATATTTGGCTTAATATGAGCCAAGTGTATCAGAGTAAAATTTATCTGATTAGACCGAAAGATCTTGGAGGTGTTAAGCAAACGTGGTTCGGGTCCAGTGTGTTAGTGGTTCTATTTTTGAAAGCATCACAGCTAAAGACTCCTTTTTGGCTCCTACCAACTAGGAATGAAAGACCCCAGGTAGATTACGCTCTCTTACTTCGGGCAGCAGTCTCTTTATGGGTTGCTTCGAAATTAAAACCGTAAAGAAGTCAAAGGGAAATCAATTTATTTCCCCAAGAATGCATGGCAATTCACAGACAATAAAGAAAAGGAATCCATGGGCGTTTATGTTCCGAAGTAACATGGTATTAAAAAAAGAAAAAACAAAAAACAAAAAGATAAAACAGTGTTAATAAATATACCGCTTTTTAACTGGGTACTCTGGGGAGGCACGGTGGAATAATGGACAGGGGCTCCGAATAAGGAATCAGAGAGCCGAGTTCGAATTCCAGTCGAATCCACTGCATTCACTTACGTGCTAATACCCTTGGGAAAGATATCAATCCTTTTCTTCTCCTCCCAGCTATGAGTAAATAGCAGGACAGACCGAGTTCTACAGCCTTTGATGACAACTGGTCCACCGCAGAAACAAATGGCAAACTACTGCGGGAAAAAAAGTCAGTCATGTATGGAAATATACATGATTGCCTAAGCTTGTATTACGCATGGCACAAAACTGAATGATTTAGACTATAACTGGAAAAAGAAGGGATGGATTTGAACCCACCACATCGATTCCTTTCTCTTTGAGTCGGAAACCATTACATTAAAAGAACAGTAACAAAGAAACGATTGAAACCGCGAGGAAAGTTCTTTAAAAAGGAAAAAAAAACAACAATAAAAAAGTGCTCGTTAACTATCACTCTACCAAGAGATTACCGTTGTGAATATTTGTTAAACTTGATGAAGTGTCAGGTCATGTAAGTGCGGCATCTAAGCAAGATTGAAATCACAAGTAATGAGGTTGTAAGACAAGGTATCTAACCATCGCATTTTGACAAGCACTTCACGCTGGCACGCATATATATATATATATATATATATATATATATATATATATATATATACACAACGTGTCCCGAAAAATGTACTCACTCTGTAAATGACAAAAACTGTAGCGTTTATTGCAAAGAAGATTAACATTTTAAGTAAAATATTAAATGCATATTAATGAATATTTAAACTGACGATGAAATAAAAAAACAGTACAATTTTGGAGGATATATATATATATATATATATATATATATATATATATATATATATATATATATATATATATATATATATATATATATATATATATATATATATATATATATATATATATATATATGTGTATGTATATATATATATATATATATATATATATATATATATATATATATATATATGTATATATATATGTGTGTATGTATACACACACACACACATATATATATATATATATATATATATATATATATATATATATTATATATTTTTAAGTTATGCTACATTTATGGGATAAAGTGTTTAATATCAGAGATACAGCGTATCTAAATATAAAAATATGAAGTGAACACTCAGATCCGACAGGCCTGACAATTGCGTTTAGCATAAAACACTCTGTCGCCTCTGTGTGTTGACTTCGATATCCATTGTTTTATATATATATATATATATATATATATATATATATATATATATATATATATATATATATAAATAAGAATAAGAATAAGTAGCTCTCATAAATAATGTTCAATGTTTGGGTCCACGCTCTGAATTTCGAAGAATCAACTACAAAGGCGAAGGTTACGTGCCTTTCTTGAAACTAATTCCCTTTTTCTTCTTTGATAGTTTTCTATCACATATTCACTAATAATAATAATGATAACGAAATTAACCAATCACTGCATAATATTTCCTTAAAACTTTACTTCTTTTCGCCTAATCTACCCGGCTGGCTCTTGCAAATCTTGAAGCTGCCAGATTAAAATAAAAATTGAGGTAAATTCCCTCTCTGAAAAAAATGGACACCATGCACTAATGTGTTAAATAGTTTCAGTAACTTGGCTTAGTCGGAGTTAAACCAAAGAAGGCATGAAACTAACTAAGTATTAAATTCAGAATTTGGACGCAAACTGATATTTTATGTTTTCTTTCTTTCTTTTCGTCATTGACATCTTTTTATTTAACATCGTGTTGTCATAAGCGACAGAAGAGACGCCTCTGCACCTTTCATTGTCGCTATCTGAGACGCTTTCTGGGCATCAATTGGTCTAACCAGCTCAGCAATATTCCAGTTCTCACCCGTGTCCTGTTACCCAGATTATATGCTCTTTTACAACTGCACCGTCTCCGCTGTCCTGGACATGCGCACCGTAAATGTGATGGGAAGAAGCATCTGGTTAGCAAGGTCAAATTACTGTTTTAAACTACAAATTTCCCATGATTTTTGTCGAACGCTTATATCTGTTAACCAGACGCTTCCTCCGTAGCTAAATGGTATAACACGTCAGGCTATATGACGGTTTCGTGTAGGATACAGGTTCGATTCCTGTCACATATTTTCTATGAAATTTCTCAGATATTCAGGACGGTAAATGTTATTAATATTGTTTATTATAAAGAGAGCATTTACTTAAATATTTGTATCTATAAAAATAACGTATAAACATAAAATATATTAAAAATATATTAAAATTATTGTCGGACTTCCATTACATAATGTAGTTTTAGCTGACGCGTTTAGTTTAATATATCGTTAGTAACTAGGAGAATTTAGAAACGCTATTGTATATTTCATTTGACCCAATGAATATATAATAGTGTTTCTAAATAAGGCAAGAAACCCAGCAAATCTTAACAATATAACAAAAAATTCTGTATAACAGAATGTGACTAAAATACTAGGAAGTTTCATTTATATTTCGATATGTACTTGAATAATGGTTGGGAATAGAACAAAATAGATAAAACCTGTAATAAAGAACCTTTTTTCATGAAACTTGTACCAATGAAATATTGCGCTAAAATACACCTAATTCAGGTTACACAACCAAATAAATGCGAAGGAGTGCAACATTATAAACTACCAAAACAAAATCTCATTGAAAGAGAAATTACGGTCACAAAAGTAATCAAGCCAATGAAGAATTTATGGCATGGTGGAGGGAGGTGAAATCAACCCAAAGTTACAGCACCTACAAATATATAAAAGAACTGGACGGCTATGCAGATCACATAGTTCAATGTGTAGGTATTTCGAAAATTTCTGTAATCGATGCCACATTCGACGCTTGGGTTTTTTTTTTTCATTCTACCTCTCCCACAACATTTGACTCATTAGTATATAGCAGAGGCCGAAAGTTTTGAGTTAATTAGTAAGCTTCACACCTTCTCTGGCTTAATTAACTTCTACTAAACTAGAATGCTAAAATATTTAACCCATTAATGCATGACATCCAATTTTTTTTTTAGAGAGGAGGGGTTACCGAAAATTAAAAAATTGCCAGACCTTAGATTACCATTAGCTAGCAAGGTAGATTAGGTAAAAAAGCTAAAAGTTTTACTCAAATTTTATGCAGTGATAGATTAAAATTTCGGCATTATTATTATTATTATTATTATTATTATTATTATTATTATTATTTTATTTCCCTGGATTTCTGCTGTATACACATTTACTTCCTGTTAGAGATCTAAGATCAGAAATGACTTAATGCCATTTTCCACTCATCTTAAAAAACAAACAAACCGTAAGATCACAGACATTTTACATAGATAAAGCTTTTCGTAATGTGTATTTGTGAACACAATTTTTTGTGATTCTTTAAGGCATGGGTTACCAGTAATCCTTTCAAAGAGTCTATCGGGACCGTTTCCAATCAATCCTAGGGTTCCAACTGCAACTGGAATTATTGTGCCACATTTTTTAGATTCCCCCTCCTTGTATTTTGATAATTATTTACAGATCTTCAAAGATACATTACAGTCTGCAATGACCGCCATGTCAATGAGAAGGCGCCTTCTGTTCTCGTGGTCTTTGATCACGATGTCTGGGCGATTAGCTATCATTGTCCTCTCTGTTTGTATTGTAAAATCCCAGAATCATTATTATTATTATTATTATTATTTGGAAAAAAAAAAAAAAAAACTCCAGAAAGGAAACTTCCTCTGGCTAGGAGTGAGCTGGTAAATTAGTTTTGAAAAAGTTACGCAACCTTCAATTTTTAGGCGATTCTTTGAAATCCAGGGTGGCACCAAACATTTGGCCTACGGTATATATATATATATATATATATATATATGAAGAAATATAGTTTTAAGTTGTGGTATATTTATGGAATAAAGTGCTCAATATCAGGAATAGAGCGTATGTAAATATAAAAGTGAACATTAATATCTATATATCTATATATATGTGTGTGTGTGTGTATACACACACACACACACACACATATATATATATATATATATATATATATATATATATATATATATATATATATGCAAAGATAGTGAGACAGACAGAGAATAGAATAAAGAGCAGAATAAAAACGTTTCTATTTCATAAACCTATACATATGATGGCATATATATAAAAGTGAACTTTAATATATATATATATGTGTGTGTATACACACACACACACACATATATATATATATATATATATATATATATATATATGTATGTATGTATGTATGTATGTATGTATGTATGCATAGATATATGCAAAGATAGTGAGACAGACAGAGAATAGAATAAAGAGCAGAATAAAAACGTTTCTATTTCATAAACCTATACATATGATGACATATGAAGAATGGCAATGCCTCATTTGAAAAAGCAATGAAATTCAACGCTGACACATAAGAATATAAAAAACGAGCAAATCTTCTTTATATTTCTCTAAGCCGTTCTCTGTTTATTTTTCTCTCTGTTTTTCTTATTTCCTCTCCAATTCCTTCTCTTTCTCTGTCTCTCATTTCATACCAATTCTCTGACATGATCTTCACTGTTTTATGACTTTTACACGCACATAATTCCATTTCATTTTATTTCACATTTTCTCTATATCTCATTTCTTTTTTTCCTTTCATTCCGCCTCCTCTTCTCATTCTCTTTTTCTCTCTCTCATTCTTTTACTCTTTCTTCTCTCTTCTCTCTCTCATTTCCTTTATTTTTGTCTTTCTCATTTACTCTCTAGCGCACACATTCTCTCTTTCTCTTTTGCGCCTTCCTGGGTATGACGATAAACTACATCCGGCAGCCAGGCCTCTAATCCGGAGATTCGAGGTTTTGAGGTGAGGGGAACTACCTCTTAGTGGTCGTTGTTCCCGGGTCTACCTTGACTCGGTGTGGTACCACAAGTTAAGGTACCAAATAATGAAGCCCAAAACATTATGTAAATATTAAAAAAAAATTATAGTGAATATACAGAAATGTATTTTCATAGTAAAAAAAAAATACCTGCAACACATTTTTGTAAAAGAAATTACTAATACTCCCCCAAAAATTAAATTTCGGTATTAAATGACACATGAAGAGTTGATATGCCGCTAAACAACAAACAAAACAAAATTCTCTCTCTCTCTTTCTCTTTCTCGCTCATTTCATTTCTTTTTCAGTCATTCTAATTTTCTCATTTCCTTTCTCTTTCGTTCTATTCGAGACTATTTCCTTTTTCTTTTGCTCTCATTCAGTCTCTTTTCCAAGCTTTCTTATTTCTCGCTCTCACACTCTCTCGCTCTGTTTATATACTCTATTCTTGTCTCTCTTATTTTCACTTTCTCTCTAACTCTCTCTCTTTTTGTCTTACTTTCAGTCTTTATTTCTCCGCCCCCACCTCTCTCTCCCAATTACTTTTTCTCTGAGTGCCTCTCATTTCTCCTCGCTTTATGATCATTATTTACATTATTCGGACTATTTTCCTCATCTTTGTTACCATATTTATCACAACGTTTCGGCCGTTGTATGCTCCGGCCTTCTTCAGGTGGTTGGAATTTCGAACTGAACCCTTTATTTTGCGCACTGGGGTAGACTGTTCTAGTTCCACGTGCCATGTTTGATGGATGTCAGTTGTCAGTTATCTCCTGCTAATTTTCCCTCTGAAACTTCTCCAACGGCCGAAACGTTGTAATAAATATGGCGACAAAGATGAGGACAATAGTCCGAATAATGTAAATAATGTACATAGTACCTCATCTCAGAAATATAGACAGATACTGAAAGGCCGAAACGTTGTGATAAATATGGCGACAAAGATGAGGACAATAGTCCGAATAATGTAAATAATGTACATAATACCTCATCTCAGAAATATAGACAGATACTGAAAGGCCGAAACGTTGTGATAAATATGGCGACAAAGATGAGGACAATAGTCCGAATAATGTAAATAATGTACATAATACCTCATCTCAAAAATATAGACAGATACTGAAAGGCCGAAACGTTGTAATAAATATGGCGACAAAGATGAGGACAATAGTCCGAATAATGTAAATAATGTACATAATACCTCATTTCAGAAATATAGACAGATACTGAAAGGCCGAAACGTTGTAATAAATATGGCGACAAAGATGAGGACAATAGTCCGAATAATGTAAATAATGTACATAGTACCTCATCTCAGAAATATAGACAGATACTGAAAGGCCGAAACGTTGTGATAAATATGGCGACAAAGATGAGGACAATAGTCCGAATAATGTAAATAATGTACATAGTACCTCATTTCAGAAATATAGACAGACTCGCTTTATGATATTTCACATTTCCTTACTCTCTCTCTATCTCTCTTCTATATCCACTAATTAATTTTGTCGCTTTCATTTCTAACCTTTCTCTTTTTCCTCTCCCTTCTCTCATTCTCGCTAATTTTCTCTTTCATTCTCTCATTCTTGCTTTTGAAATTAAAAAAAAAAAATTACGACTTTCTCATATTGTACAACAGTTGACACGAAATTACTTGTATAATTTTTCCAATTAGAGGCAAAAAGGGAGATAATCTGTTTACATTGGCGTTGGGCAAAATACTGTTACGTGTATTAATTTTCTCTAATAATGCTAATTGAGTGTGAACTCGAAAGAAATGAGAGTGAAAGTATAATCGATGTCGTGGCTGACGATTCCTGGAGAGAGAAGGATGAAGCCGCTGTATACGGACAATCGAGAAGGAAATATGGTAACGCCCTCAACATCCAGAAAACAATTAAACTAATTGCCAAGGGGGTGGGGAGATTTGCTGAGGAGGATCGAAGGAAAAATGTACCAATGGGAAACTTATTTGGGGTGGTGGGATATATATATATATATATATATATATATATATATATATATATATATATATATATATATATATATATATCTTGTGTATTTATGCAGCAGTCCCTCTTTTATACGTGTTTCGTTAAAGACGACTGACAAGGTACTGCGATTAATCTTTTTATTTTATTTTTTTTTCTTGTGTTCGTACAAGAGCTTTCTTTCCTAGACACGAAGTGTGTAAAAAAAATTGTATATTCGAGCAGTTTCGTCTATTCTTACAGCCATTATCAAGGGCGATTTTAATTTTAAAATTTTTATCTGAATACATGTTTTTTTTTTTTTTTCGAGAACGCATATTTTCTACGAAATTTCTCAATTAAATAATTGTCGGAAATAATCCATTTCATTATATATATATATATATATATATATATATATATATATATATATATATATATATATATATATAGTTTATACGTTATTTTATAGATACAAATATTTAAGTAAATACTCTCTTTATAATAAACAGTATTAACTTCATTTACTGGCCTGAATGCCCGAGAAATATAGTAGAAAATATGTGTCATCCGATAGTATCCTACACGGGACTGTCATTTGGCCTGACGTGCTATACTATTTAGCTACAGAGAAAGCGTCTATTTAGCAAAGTCAAATTACTGTTTTTAATCAACAAATTTCTCACGATTTCTCTCGAACGATCATATCTATTCGAGGCGTATCTTAACGTATTTTCTCGGCTATTCAGACTTTAAAACTATCTTATAAACAGACTGAGCACGTATGCCTACATCAAGTGCTGTCTGGGTCAAGAGGTTGGCTGCTGAAAGAACTATGTCTGGCAATAAGACTCTGCACAAGCAGGAAAACCCAGTGATGCCTGTCAGACAATTCACCAGACTGCAACTCTCTTGATCATTATGGGTGGTGCGCAATTGAGCGAGAGACCCATCCACAAAATTCATTGTAACACCAAACGTGAATTGAAAGCAAGCATTATGGCAGCATTCACTGTCCAGAAGTGTTGCAAGTCGTCAGAAGGCTGTTATTGAAGCCAATGTCGATTCGATTGAATATATTTACTATTTAGTATTTCCAGACATTTTTGTATAATTTTGGTAAATATATCTGTTAAAATGAGATGTCAGTGTTATTTTCATTTAAGGGTAATTTAGACAAGAATTTACCTATCGCACCATATATATATATATATATATATATATATATATATATATATATAAATGAAATTTATCCTTTATAATGTCTAAAAGTATAGCTCGCGGACATACAAAACATTTCAACAAGTTCTATATAATTTATGTCCGGCCAAAAAGATAACTATTCGAATTCCTGTCGAATCCATTACATTCTTGGTAAAGGTATTAATCCTCTTCTCCTTCCAGCTATGGGTAAATAAGCAAGACAAACTGGAAGACGGACAACTCTGAATTTAAAAACCTGTATTCGGCCCTTCAAAAAAGTGTGGTTGGTTTTGCATAAAGGCTTCACCGCTATAATCAAATCATATGTGCTTGTACCTGGCTGTCGGTCCCTAGGTCCTGTCACGGGATCTAACTAACGCCTTTATCCACTGTACTTTTATCAGGACCCAAATAGTGTGAGTTCAATACCTGGTTAAGGCGGTGGAGAATTTAGAGAGGGGAATTAACAGGAGATAACTGATAACTGACATCAGTTAGACATAGTACGTGATACTAGAACAGTCTACCCAAGTAAGCGAAATAAACCACCTGACGTTCCAACCACTTGAAGAAGGCCGGAGCGTACAGCGGTCGAAACGTTGCGATAAATATAGCGACAAAAATGAGGACAATACGAATAATGTAAATGGTGTATTATCACTGATAACTCTCTTCTCTAAGTTGCGAACCGTAGGTGTTATATTCTTTATAATTGATATAATGCCAAAATATCATCGTGATAAAATCGGTCAATAATAATTTATAACTATTTATACTGGAACTCAATTACAAGTAATCCATAATAATATTTTAAATTTTGAAAACATATAAATTTTTTAAAACTGTTTCTAAATCTTTGATTGTCTTTTAAGCATTCCGCCTCACCTGCTATCCTTTTCATCACACATGTGAAGCGCGCTGCGCTGTTTGTTTATCACTGCCTTATGTTGTTAAGATTGTTGCCGTTAATAATAAATCCTGGTATAATGGTAATTATACCAGGATTTATATCTCTATTTGTCTCTATTTGTCTCTGTTCAACCGCGAATTCACCATTATTCGTGATACTCGCTTTCACTTGCTTTTAATATATCGTTTAAGTGTTAGATTCTCTTAGCCTTTTGCTTTATTATGTGTCGCAGAAATTTCAACAGTCTCTTCCGTATTTTATTAGTTTTCTTGTTCCTATTTTTCGTAAACTGTTTTGTGGCTCAATTGTTCTGTCTCTGGTAATTAGCATCATCCTTTTGTAGAACCACATCTACGTCGTTTCAAGTCTGTTCTTCATCTTTGAGGAGTTTGACCATGATTTACTATGAAATAGAAGATTCGAAATTACATCGCTCAGATTTTTGATTATGAGGACATTTTATTTTCTTTTTATTCTTCTTTTATGTATCGTGTCACTTCAAGGTATGTGTGGTCATGTCTTTCCACAGGGTGTCATCCTTTGCAACTCTAAACGTTGCTTAATTCCTAAAAAAAGCGGATAGTTAAATGTCTGTACGTGCTTGAATTTAACGACCCAATAATTTAGTTCACACGTTGGGATATCTCTTCTGGCTGGCATCTAGTTTATAACTTGTTAAACTAGTTATACACTTTACTCAATGTCGAGATGAGCTTCTCTATTTAGAAGCTACGATGCTAAAGGACATAATCTTTCTTTCTCTCTCTCGCTCTCTCTCTCTCTCTCTGTCATCGCAGCACACCAATTTCTTCCTTTTCTTCTTTTATATTTCATTCTTCACCTTCCCTCTCGCCCAGCAGTCTTTCCTTTTTTATTTCACTTAATATTTGCTTCCTCTTTCTTTTGTTGAACGTCTTTGACATCACTGTTATCCTTTTTTTGTCTCTCTTTTTTCCCACTAAATTAATTTATCTTTCTCTTTTTCATCTTCTTCCTTTTTTTAAGATTCTTTATTTCCTTTCTTTATTAAGCCTTACGCATCACGAAGGCCACAAAAGCCTTACTCCCTCGTGGATGCTTTCCCGAACAGTATAACCATAACATCTTCAAGTAAAGGGCCAATCACTAGTTTCCATATCCTCATGAATTTCACTTTTTAATTCCTACATTTATATCACTCACATCATTCAGTATCCCTCTACATTGAGTGGCTCTTGCGTCTTGTATTCAATGAGCATAAATAGCCCAATAAACCCTTTCAGTTCTTTTGGGATCACTGACCTAGTTATAATTTACGTAATTTTATTGATCAGATTGTTTGATTGATCCGTTTTCTACTGCTTATCAACCCTTTACAGGTTATTTAAAGCCAGAAAATATTTTACATTGTAAGATTTTTTTCAGGGGATAATAATGATTTGGTGATACAAATCTTATTAATTAACCCATACCTGGGGGAAAGAGGTGGATTCATATCCATTACATCACTCACACTTCCAAGCTTACAGCACCTGGTATTGCCAAGCGGTAACAATCTCAGTACTGACCTGGATCGACGTCTCATCGTGGATTGTACGGGAATCGGTATTTGAGTGTAATATAGACGTAAGCCGTCATTAATTAGACGAGTTCCGCTACTGACAAAATGGATAGAGAGTCAGGTACTCAGTTCCCCAGTGACCCTACGACCACACTCGGTCATGAGGCTGGTGTTGGCACAAGGACACAAACAGTTTACACTATCTGATGTGCCCCATCTAAATATTGATTATGTTCAATGTTACTTAACTGAGGTGGCCAGACGAACTCCATTGTTGACAGCGCGACGCGATTGTAAACGTTTTGTCTTAATTTTCAACTATCGCGATAAATAGTTGTTCTCTCCGTGAGGTCCCTTTTGAGCGCCTGTTAACGCCAAGTGGAGCTCGTAAATACGATTCATAGCTAAAGATGATAGAAATGTGGCCAGTTCCCTGTACTGCTCCAGTAAGTCCCTAACTGCTATCCTCTACCATTAAAAGAGCCAGAGCAGAACGAAAATGGAGTACTACTGCCATCAATATTTCTTTGGAAAGGGTTCAGGCGAATTAAATTTCTTAGTTATTTTTTAATAATTTCCCCCAAGCAAGGCAATAAAGCCACTAAGAAGCGGAGATTACTGAGATAGAATATACGGAAAAGAAAACATTATTAAGGAGAGAGAACAATAAAAAGACAAGATCTAAGAATATTAAGGTAGGAATTGGTGTTGAATTTAAATTTTTGAAGATCAATGTTGACTGGAAATCAAGAAGCCAGAAAAGAGTTCCACATGCAAGAAATGCCAGTGAAGTAACTGTTAACATAGAACTTACGGTGAGATTTAGCCATTACCCCTGTAAAATGGTGGGACCTTGTCACCAATCTAGTACTAGGGTTAAATTATAGAGACTAGTTACCATAGAGGAAAGCTAATGAAAACGATTACCATAAAGGTATTTAAAGAAAAGGCAGAGGGAATCTATAATTTAGCGGTGAGAAAGTGACTGAAGACCTGATGCCCGGTCAGGACCAATGGCATTGCAGATTCTTCTTTGGATTTTAGCAAATATCTCTAAATATATAGATGGAGCACCACATCAGATATGGAAGCAATATTCAAAGCAAGGACGAATGATAGACTTATAAATATGTAAACTGGATGCTGGCGAGAAAAAAATTGTCTTGCACGACACAGCGAACCGACTTTCGTAGCAGAAGACCTAAGGATTGATTGTATATCAGCTTTCCAAACGTTAGACCGAGAAGGCGTAATAAGTCACTCTCTTGGAAAACAGATCTAACCTTCACGGCTAAGGCCCACCATTCCAAGCCCATTGTAACGAACCACTCATTTCCTCGAACCATTGGTGTGATGTAAATTCCACTCGAACAACTTTTCCTCCGAACAGCTGCTTCTAGATCACTACAATCTTAACCCTGTTCAAGTTTAGGATTAACAGTTATATCCCCCCCCACATATCCTCATAAACTAAGCCTCTTACCTTTTATCCTCTGATGCAAGTGGCTCTTGAAAATCTTAGAATTATTGCAAAAAATGTAACTGTCACAAACATGAGGCCATCATGTTTTGGGTTTTTATTTTTTATTTCTTGCGAAACGGTATTCACTTGAGATTTCTTGTTATCGATATGACTACCAAGTCCTCACAATATTCTCTTCTGGGCTTTACAACCATGGTTAACGTAGTCTTTAATTATTGACTCCCGCGTGAATGCTTCCATGAACGCTACAATTTTAAACTCTTCAAGCCAAAGGTCAATTGTTATCTAATCCACCATATTCTCATAATCTTCACTTCTAAACAACGTTCATCCCCCCCACCTCGAGGCTTGGATCGGGTAAAATATAAAACATAAATCATCATACTTATTATAAAACCCAGGTTGTGTGTGTGTGTGTGTGTGTCTGTACATTTATATATTGGATCGGATTTCCTACATTTTTCAATCGATTTCAAGAAAACTTCACAGGACTACGTAAAATTACCTTGCCGTGGTTCTGACAGCGCCAAACATTGGAAAAACACAATTGTTTTTGCACGAAATCAATTTGAAAACACAATTAAGAGGCATCACTGTCGCCAGAATGAAAGGGGGACAACTAATATCGAGTTATACTTATTATAAAACCCAGGTTGTTTGTTTGTTTGTGTGTGTGTGTGTGTTCGTTTATATATGGGACCGGATTTCCTACATTTTTCAACTGATTTCAACAAAACTTCACTTTTTTTGGCAGGTAGTGTTTCTTAGTATCTTGCACACTTTTTTCTTTATTTTTACATTCAGAATGTTTTAAAAATTCCATTTACAAGACAATTGTTTATAATAAAAGTCTATTCAATCGGTAGACTCATAACGATTGAAGTTTGGATTTGACCAATTCGTAAAAAAAAACAAAAAAAAACTAATTAAGGCATGGGTGTCCGTCAACCTTAAACAATAATCTTTATGAATTTTATTTTTCAGTCTTTATGATGGTCAATACATGATCTATCTCTTACTGTTACATCCCTGGGCAACGCCGGGCTCTACTGCTAGTAATAAAAAAAATAAAACGGTGAGAGTAAAAATCGATTTTGTTGTGTTTGAGCCACGTCTGTACCCTGTTTGTTTATATATTTACTGTGCTTATATCTTGAGATGTCGGTATGTTTGGAATGTTATCGTCGTTGATGTGAGTATCCATATCACAAGTTGTTTTATTTCTTCAAACGTTGGGAACTATGATTATTTGAGGTGTCAAAGCTTTTGTATATTCTGTTTGACAAGCAGGGTTCCGTGTGAGTTATGGACATACTTTCTTTGGGTGTGGGAACCGGACTGTTTGTCAGTTATGCAAAACTGCAAGTGGGTTGCAGATTATGGACTTCCAGTGAAATAACTACATTATAATAATTTTTATGCACGTGTGTATTTTTACATAGACACGCTCATACATTATATATCCCCATCTCACTCTTTCACTTTCACTCTCTCTCTCTCTCTCTCTCTCTCTCTCTCTCTCTCTATATATATATATATATATATATATATATATATATATATATATATATATATATATATATATATATATATATATATATATATATATATATATATGCACCGTGAAATGATTCATTGCTCCTCTCAAAGATTTGGCCGAGGTTGAGTTGGTCTAAAGCACGTCGGTTGCAATGACGGTTTCTCCTGCTAGCGGGACGCAGGTTCGAATCCTGCCGAAAGGGTGAATCTTTTATGAAGGTTTCTCGAAAATTCAGATCGTTAGGCGAAAATAAATATACTGATTAACAAATAAACAGAGTGTCTAGTGAAATATGGCTTTAAATGTAAAATATATTGGATTAGCAGATAAAATATCCATTACTTATATATATATATATATATATATATATATATATAAAATGAAAATAAACTTTTAAGTTATGCTATAATGGTCTGAAGATTGGTTTCTAGCATGATTTCGACTGTCACTGTTCAGTATTGACATCAATACTCACCCCCCCCCATATATATATATATATATATATATATATATATATATCATCCTTCACCAGTAGCACGACTCGGAGTTTCATGCACAACCTATTGTTCAGGTGCTGACTGTTACGTAATTTAAATTTTAATAAAAATATCTGGTTAACAGTGTTGGCGGAGTTAAATACTATGCGGTTTATTATTTAAAAGAATATTATATTTGGCATCTGAAATAAACGGGAGTTATATATATATATATATATATATATATATATATATATATATATTATCCAATTTGATATCGTGCATTTTTACCTCTATATTTCAAAGTAACTTTTTACCCTAACTTTAGAATTTGCCAATGAATAGTCTAATATTTCCAATAAAGATCTAAGTAATGAATAATGAATGATCTTTCCTTAGATAAGGTAAAAAGGGCCTAGAAGTCCTTTGAGACCGAGCGGAAAGGAACGCAATATCCAACGATAGTTTAAACTATAAAGGTAGACAGAAGTTCGATACTTACCTTGGAACGCATTCAAATTTCTAGAAATAGCAAGTCCCATAGACATTATTACCCACTGTTTGATAAATAAATGATTAATGGGGCGTGTATTTCAAATAAAAACTGCCTACTATAATAACGTTTAAATATATACATATTGTCATTCACAGACAGACTGTTTCGCTACCGTGCGGCTAGACGTCCGGTTGACTCTAGCTAGGATCGAAATCCGGCTGAATTAGCGTCAGTCGGAGATGCTACCACTATGCAGTCGTAGCAACGCAGGGACGGAGGTTAATTTTAGCGTATTTTATTTTTAGATAAACACACAGTAACTGAGAGGACACGATTCCCTTTATCGAAG